ATCAGGCCAACCTTTCCAAGCCCACTGCAAAACTTTAGATAACACTGGGTCTTTCTTAGTCTCATTGGCAATGTCTTTGGCACAGATTAGTTTTTCTGGATGTTCTCAAGCATCAAAACGTCATCTGAGCTTGGTGGTTCTGGCGCATGTACCTTTTGTGGCAATCTGCTAAGAGCATCTGCATTCTGAATTTTTGAACCTGGTACGTAACATAATTCATAATCATAAGCAGATAACATAAGAGCCCATCTAAGCATTCTGGGTGACAGTATCTCTGGAACACCCTTTTTCGGATTAAAAATACCCAACAATGGTTTATGGTCCGTTCTTATGCCTATTTTCCTGCCATATACATATTCGTGGAATTTTTTAATGCCCGATATTATGGCCAGTGCTTCCTTGTCGATTTGGGAGAAATTTCGTTCAGTAGATGATAGAGTACGACTATGGTACGCCACTGGATATTCACGTCCTTCATCATCACGTTGACTAAGCACACAACCTACCCCGTAAGGGCTGGCATCACACGTCAAAAATAAATCTTTTTGTTCATTGTAATGCCCTAACACAGGTTCTTTCGCTAAAATTTCTTTTAGTAAATCGAAAGCTTTTTGTTCTATAAAACGCCACTGCCAGGGAACGTCTTTTCGGAGCAGTGCATGTAACGGATTCGCAATTGTTGCTTTGTCCTTTAGAAAAACATGATAAAAATTTAAAAGTCCAAGAAAAGCTTGCAACTCGGTTTTATTGGTTGGCGCAGGCGCATTAGTTAGGGCCGCGATTTTGTCTTTAGTGGGGCGTAAACCGTCTTCACTAATTTGAAAACCAAGAAACTCTATAGTTTTTGTTCGAAAAACGCACTTTTCTTTGCGCAAATGCAGTCCGTCTTCCTGGAAACGCGATAATACCGCGCGCACTTTTGAATCCAAGTCTGTTTCTGAGCTACCAACTATTAAAATGTCATCGTAATAAGGTAGTACACCAGAATACCCGTTAATCGAGTGTCTATGAATTTTTGAAAAATTTGTGGAGCCACTGATATACCGAACTGTAAACGATTGCATTTAAAAGCCCCTTTATGCGTAATTATTGTTTGTGCTTCAGCAGCTTCGCGGTTGACACTTAACTGCAGATAAGCTTGCGCCATGTCCAGTTTTGCAAAAACTTTACCGCCCGCAAGTGTGGATAAGATACCCTGTACCGATGGCACTGAATAAGGTTCCGGATTTAACGCTAAATTCAATGTGGATTTGTAGTCACCACAAATCCTAACCTCACCGTTTTCTTTGCAAACAGTCACAATTGGGGTGCACCATTTTGGGTGCGTAATCGGCTCTAAAACCCCTTTCGCAATAAGCCTGTCCAGTTCAACTTCGATTTTATCTTTTAGCGCAAATGGAACTTTACGAGCTTTACACATAATCGGCTTTACATTTTTGTCCAACGAAAAACTTACTGGGGGACCCCGGTAAGACCCCAAATCTGTATTAAATACATCTGGGTATTCTTCTGTATAATTTATCATTGATAAAATTTGACTTACCCCAGCTATGGTTAAACCTAAACTATCAAACCAGTTTCTGCCGAGTAGACTGGCACGATTTCCTTCCGTGACTATGAGAGGAAGTGTCGCTGATCTTGGACCTCTCTTTACCTCCACTTGACACTTACCCAGTGTGGGTATCACTGTGTTTTGATAGTCCCTTAAAATAACACTGGATTTATCTATTTTAGGTCGATTTTCACTAAAGATTTCATGGTAGGTTGATTTGCTTATCACTGAATAACTCGCGCCCGAGTCAACCTCCATTTTCACTTTTTGGTCATTGAGTGGCACATCTACTAAATATTTACCGGTAATGCTATCAGACGTCACGTTATTTAACGTAAATTCATAGTCACTACTTTGATAAAAAACACTCTGAGTGTTCCCCGAAACAAGCTCGGTATTGGACGTAGATTCCACGGTAGTCTGATGTACTTTGCGTTTGTAATTTTGGTTCTTCTTTTTTGCAAAACAAGCTATTTCGATGTGTCCAACTTTCCTGCAATATGCACAGGTTGATTTAATGTGTTCACAAGTTTCGGGAGAATGTTCTTTTTCGCACCGAAAACATTTCTTCCTTTCGCGATTAGCTAATTGTTTGAACTGGCCCGGTTGATTTTTACGAAAACTTACCGCGTTTACATCTGCGCTCGACTCAGTTTCTCGTAGAACTGCCAAACTTTCCACGGCCACCTCGTGTGCAAGGCACAGGTCTTGCGCGTCCTTAAGTTTTAACTTATCTGTGGCTAGCAACTTTTGCTGTAGCGATTCGTCGGTAATACCACAAACGAGTCGGTCACGTAGCATTATGTCAAGGCTAGTTCCGAAACCACAGGGTTCTGCCAATTTTCGTAATTCCTTCAGATACACAGATATTGTTTCACCAGTCTGTTGATTCCGACGATAGAACTTAAACCTGCACACAATTTCCGACGTTTTTGGAGAAAAATGCTTTTTTAATTCAACTATGATTTGGTCATAAGTTTTATCAGACACTTTGGACGGCGCGACCAAAGATCTAATAATCTCATATGTATTGGGACCACACAAACTTAAAAATGTAGCTTTTTTCCTATCAGGGTCTGTAATGTTATTTGCCAAGAAGAAAAAATCCATACGCTCGACGTATGATTCCCAACCTTTGGAGTCACCCACCTTAAACGAAATACTACCGACTTTAATGATCACTCCAAAACGTAATGCAAATAACAAATATATATTAAATAGGTCATCGTCGCGTCTGTATTCCTGAGTGTTTTCTCAGCTGATTGTGACATAACCGCACTGCAGGGTTGCCAATACATCACATATGTGGTACCGTTTTATAAAACTCATGACACTCAGTTTCAATTAGGTGTAATATGTTGACAAGATTTCTTTTTTTTTGTTGGCTATAGGAAGAGTATTGTCATATTTTTTTTTCGTAATAAAGGAATTATTATATTTATATTTAAAAAAAAAGAACACGATTCTAGACACATGTTTTGATTTTGTTTGTTCTTCTAAACATCTATTTTCTAAAAACTTTGAAACATTTAATTTAAACTACAAAAGTTTTAAGAAAACATCCTTTGCAGACCTCAGCCAACTGAATATTGATTTTTAAATTATATTTATGATTCATACTCCTTGCTGTAGGGACTCCACTGGTGACGTTAATTATCTTGGGTTTTCTTTGGTATGTATGGTGCTTGGTATAAGGGATGATAAATAGGCAGTAAGAAGTTTACATACTATGATTGCGCTTTAAACCATCGATATATCTAAGATAATCATTATTCATTGCCTTATATAGTTGTCTGCCTTTGGGATTTATTAATCTAGATCCCAGTAAGTGTGTTGTAGTCGCCTCACACAAGAAACCTATTCCCTAGTGTGTTGAAAAACTCTTGATATTGCTGTTTTCTATTGTGTGCCGCGGTGGACTTTAAATAGCACTAACAGTCAGTGGACCGTTCCAGTTATCTAGGTATGCTAACAGTAGTTGCTTGGATATAGTTTTTATAAAATTAATTTATTTTGTAATGTCTATGACCTAATTATAATTGCAATTTCGCCATGTGCGGTTCTATCTGGATGTTTTGTATTATAAATCAAGTAGTTTGGAATTTTGATGAAACTTCGATTTGTAAAATGAGTTTCAGATATTAACATTATGTCAATATTGTGATTTATTATATAAGCTTTGACCTTATGGACATGTTGTGCTAGCCCGTTTGCCTTCTAAATGGATATTTTCATGAACTTATTCATTTTGAGATTTTTGCGATAACAGTTGTGAGTAGGTTTAGCATAGTGCCCATTTGTTCCATTAGTGTTTTTAACATGTCTCATAGTTCCTTTATGTCGTTTGTGGTTTATGTTTGAATCATATTGGTACTCTGTATTTCGTGAACATTCTTGTTACTAGTGACTTGGGCAAAGCTAATACAAGCTTGTACAGGTTGTGCAGACACAGATGAGTAAATTTATGTTGATGAAAAATTTACCGTCCTTCGCTTATTCAACGTCATGTTTGGATTTTTGTATTTGGATGAATAAAAGTCTACTTTAGAACAGCCATAACTTTGTTAATATCAAGTTTACGGTAATAATAAAAAACGAACCCCTTTGTTTTATAAACTTCATTTTATGTTCAGTTTTCTCGATAAAATCTAAATTTTATGAGTTATTCGTGAAAAACCAAAAACATGCTTTTTTGACGTGTAACTCGTGAACTTTCAGTCACAAATAACTTCAAAAATATTGGCTTTTCGAAAAAACTCTGAAAAACATTTTTGTCTTAAAATTCACTATTCTAGTGACTACCATGGACTTTTTTGATAAACTTTTTCCACCTCCGTGTTAGGGTGGTATCCACTCCCAGAGACTACTGCCAAAATTTCACGTAAATCGATGCATATAAAAAAATTCAGAGGTTTTTACCGTCATATCCTGAACTATTGTAATAAATGGTACATAAGTTATAATTTTTTTTTCAGATATTTGACAACACACTGGTGCTTTAGAGGGCCTATTTCCTGGAAACATAACTATAATTAACGTAATTATGTTTGAAAGAAAACAAGTGACAGTGGGTAGAACTTCATTGTTCATAATCACTAACAGCGCTCCTATCTTCTTGCAAGGAGTTTACATCATCAAACTTTTATACAGACCTTACCATTTTGCTTATAAGATCAGCCTGTGATTATTTGTTGGCCTGCTCTGAATTATAGGTCGAGTTTCTATAAATTCGAAATTTTAGTTATCAACTGATCTGCCATTTTCTACGGTTTATTAAGCTCACGTTCGACTTCGCTTCTGATAGAATTGCGTCTAGTCTCTGAGATATGGTGGGTTTATAGGTACTGCGAGTGCGAATACCCAGATAATCTTAGAAGGCGGCGCCATATAGGAGAACTTATAAAACTCTCACAAGGGAAGCATTATTTTTATTATTATACGAAATAAATTAACAGTAATGTAATTATTTTATTTCTTCACACTAGTTTTCTCATTTTTTATAAAATATAATTTTATTTAAAACAAATAAAAATTATTATTTATATTGATTGTATAAATAAATGTTAAAAGTTTACTAAAAGCTATAAGGCACAGTCGTCAACAGTATTTGTAAATGGAATATATGATAAAAATTGGAAACCGCTTTCACAAAAAGGACCCTGAAAGAAAAGCAAACATATAGTCAATTACACTTCATCTAATTTACATACCGATGCACGTCATCGGCGTCATAGCCCGTGACGTCACATAATACCAACACGAAATTTTTAGGTGGTAGGTGTGTAGCATTAGGTATGTAGGCGTGTAGGTGTGTCGAGTACACTGGCATTACAGTCACTAGACATATTTTATTATATACGCGTAGAAATAATATTTAAAAATGTCTATTAATGTTAACTTAAAGAAATACACAATAATATGTTTCACTTAATTTGTATAAATGCATTATAAAGCGTTTTTATGAAGAACGTTTGTTCGGAACAAACTGTAACTGTAATCGAACGAAGGTGAAATTTTGGCATAAATTGGTAACACTTATTTGACAGTTGCGGTGTTGACACTTTTTGTACTTTATTATTTTGAATTTTAAAGTGAACACCTCTTGTTTTATATTTTTATCTATGTATTAAAATCTGTTCTTTTTAGAACAAAATTAGTGTGTTTTATTTCAAAAATGACAAGTAAGAATTTAAATAGTCGTTGGAAAGAGATGGTAATATTTTTGCAATACTTATGTGATCTATTTGATTTAAAATGGAGTCAGGATTTTTTTATACTTTGGCAACTATGTCAACTTCGATCTCTGACGTAGATAATAACGTGCATCGTTATGTAAATTACATGAAGTATATTATTTTTTCCATACAGTAAAGTGAAATATAGTAAGTGAAAAATATTAAAAATGGAGCAATCGGTACAATGCTATTTTACGAGATACAATATATATATATATATATATATATATATATATATATATATATTATATATATATATATATATACTCAAAAATGTTTTGCATAATGTAATATTTTCAAAATTATCCACCAAATCTGGTTAAATCTATTTTTTTGTAACAAAATACTTTATTATATATTAAATTGTTTGTTTTGAAAAAGAAACAATAAACAAAATTTAAAGAATTAACAATTTATTATTATTATGTATAATATGTATTATAAATTTATTTTTTTAAATTTTGTAAAGATATAAAGAGTGCAAAAACTTCAATATATGACTTGCCTACATGGTTGGCTTTTATATTTTCTAAATATCAATCAGACTGATGTTGAATTACTAATGAGCACGAATGAATATCCGTTTTTACAACTTGAGATAAATTTGGATTTACTATTTTTGCCTGGTTTTTTCGTTGGATGTTTTATCTGTGGTTCAGAGGAATATCATAATCAGAATCGTCAGAATTCCCAATCACTAATTGTATTTCATATGTACCTGCAATATCCGATTTTGATTCTTCACAAATAATATTATTATCAATCTCTTCAAGGAATATGATAATATACCAGCAAACGAATGGGAAAGATACCTGACGGAACTGTTATAAGTTCTGATGGCAAAGGACCTGATGGCAAAAGAAAATAATAATCAACACAATAACGTACCTGAATTAAGACACGAAATAGAAATCAGTTTTCAGAAAGTAGAAATAGTCATAAATTCACTCAAAAATAGAAAGTCACCCAGACGGAATAACCAACGAGCTTCTAAAATACGAAGAAGAAAATATAACCCTAGAGATGGCAAAACTTATACAAAAATTAATATTGCACTGCAAGATACCAGACGCATGGAGAAACAGCATAATGATACCAATGTTCAAGAAAGGAGATAAAGAAGACCCCAACAATTATAGAGGTATAAATCTTACAGCGACACCGCACTTAAGGTTACAACAAAAGTCCTAACCAACAAAATCAATAAACTAACAACTTTATCAGATGAACAACAAGGATTCAGATCCGGATGATCCTGCCTAGGCGATGGACGAAATAATACAAGCAATACGTAAATGTCATAGCTACAGAACGGGGAACAAAGAAATCCAAATATGTTATACAGACGACGCCGCATTAATCGCCGAGACAGAAGACGAGCTTTAAAGATTAACACATATCTTCAATACAACAGCTAAGAAACACAATATGATAATATCAGCAGAAAAATCCAAATGTATGACAATATCTAAATACCCACTACGGTGTAAAATCGAAATTGATGGGAAAATAATAAAGCCGGAAGCAAGGTTTGGATATCTGGGAATAGATATAACTAGTTACGGAGATGTTGAAGAAGAAGTACGACAGCAAAGCTTAAAAGCAAATAAGGCGGGTTCTCTTAATGACACAATCTGGAAGAACAAACACCTAAGACAAGACACAAAAACAAGAGTCTATAAAGCAGCAATTAGACCTATATTAACATACACGGCGGAGACAAGACCTGACACATCTAAAGCGAGACGACTGCTAGAAAAAACAAGAGATGAAAATACTCCGACGAATATCAGGGAGAAGTCTGTTGGATAGGGAAAGAAGCAAAAACATAAGAAGAGCATGGGAAGAACTCAATATAGAAGACATAAATGGATGGGTGACAAAATGAAAACAGGAGTGGAACGAACACACAGTACGAATAGCACGAGATAACTCACCGAATGGACGAAGAAGTATTGGCAGACCAAAGAAAAAGATGGTGCGACAATTTAAACAATTTAGGAGGCTAATAGTGAAGAAGAAACAGACTTTAAAACCCAAATACTAGAAAGAAGAAGAAGAAGATCAATGTCTTCTACATCAGAAACTTTTTAATCTAATCTCGACGGCAAATAAACCACATTAAGTGAGTCAGCAGTTTCACAATCTGATTGTTCTTCTAACAAAGCTATTAACTCTTTAGTAGTTAGTGACATCTTCATTTCATATTTCGAGAATTTACTGAAATAAACAAATGCACTACTATACATATAAACGTATTCACATGATAATAGTTTAGCTTACTTCATTTTAATTTATATGAACTTTATAATATATTTTCATATTTATATAAACAAATAAACACAAGGAAACTTTCAAATTAAGTTAAAAAAAACAAATATAACGTTTACAGCACACAGCAATTCTATAAATAGAGAATGATGTGTAATTAATATTGCAGATTGTTTTTAGTCTAATGAAAAAAAGTAAGTTGTAAGTATTTTCCATAGTTTTCTGTTTTTTGAAGCTCTGTATTAGATACTCTCCAATAAGAATAAAATTTGACTTTATTTTGTTAGTGTTATTTAGTTAGTCTTTCAACAGACCTGTTAAAAGAGACATGATAATTTAATAATTAAATCGGTCTTACAGTGGCTTCCCACGGTCGGCGATTCTACAGATCATCGCGGACAGCCGATCAGCACGGACGAGAACGCACCGCAGACAGAGCTCTTCCTACGGTCCGTGACAGTCTGTGTAAGTCCGTGACAGTATTGTTTGATTATATCATAAAAAGGCCACTCAGGCTTGTAAACATTAAATTCGGCATTAAATTATTTCTCTTCTTTTTTAATTCTTTAATCGAAATAGTACTATTCTTTAATTTATTTTTTATTTGGTTCCATACATCATATATATCGGTTCCGCTTCTTATGCTCTGGTGCCGTAGAATTCCATAAATTTGTTTCATTTTGATACAAATTTAAAAAATCAAAAATAACTTCGTTTGTCCATTCCATTTTTTAGCAAAAGAACTGCAAAACAACTTTGACAACACTACAGACAACTACTCGTGTCAGCGAATGAAAAACTTCTGACTTGCACTTGTCGTCTGTTAAAACACAGACGCGCTAGGATCGCGTCGCACGAGCATGTACCGCACCTTTGATGTTACCGACTCTAGATGGATAGGACGGACCAGCACAGACGTGTCTGCGCTACCACGGACGAGACCCTTCCCACGGTGCGTGGTGCGTGCTGGTCCGCTTACGTCCGTAATATCGCCGACCGTGGGAAGCCAGTGTTAGATTTAATTTTTACGTAATTACTTATGTGTTTAAATAAATAATTAAATTTTTTTTTCGGTACGCATCTGCAAAATTGATAATTTGAATACGATTTCGTTGAAAAGTTATTGTTAAGGGCTTTGTTAAGTACGATGTTGCCAAGTAATCACCTTCAATTAAAAATTGTTTTAGTATAAGGCATGCTATTTTTTAACAGTTTGATGTTTGTACTGCCCCAGGTCAGAATGGCAGGCATTCATATATCATAGCCAACGATTAATTGCAGTGCATTTTTCATGCAAGCTCTCACTAAATGTTCCAAATCCCTTGATGGTTGTTCGGGATCATCATATGAGAGGTATGCTGATCTCCTTCATAACTCCACACTTTATGACCTTTATCTTTACTGTCGTACAGTCTGCGGAACAAAGATCACAACCAGTCTTCTGTGTTAAGGTCTTGATTTTGCCTCTTTAGACGGATCCTGATAATTTCTTCAGGGGACGTTTCAAGTTTCTTCTCGGAGACGCGGGTGAGGACCATGGAGCGCTTGGACATATTATTTGGAACAATTATATTTAAGTTTACTCCCTCCCACAGGCCCTCAATAGTCTTCACCACCTCAGTCGTCCATTTTTTTGTATACTCGTTAACACAGTTTAACCACAGGGTCCCTTCGCTAAACGATGTTTTATGGAACTGCAGAAATTTATTTTGACCTCAGATAGGGGCCTCTTCAAGTGGTTGCTCCAGTTTGTTAATGATCAAATTGGCTTGAGCCCGATTTAGTTGAGAATCAGGATGGTGTCTGTGTGCTACCATCATTCTTAATACTTTTGTCAGGGTGCTTTATGACCTAGTCTGCTCATTAGATCCCCGTCGTTTCTTAGCAACTCTGTTACGAGAGGGGTGATGGTATTCTCCCGAAGTCTCTTTTTATCGTCGGGTGATTTGAATTTCTTGGGATTTGCTATGGTCTATGTCCCAGCATCCATTTTTGTCTTTTTGAGCACGCGGCATCTACATAGAAAAATATCTAGTTGCATTTGTTGCCCCACTATTTCATATTTTAGAAGCAGTAATATGGCTGACATGATCGCTCCCTAGCGGTACTAATAAGGAACTAAAATCTTGATCAACCTTCTTTTTTATAACGTATGTTCAACGTTTACCGACGCTAAAAAATAACAGTGAACCTTCTATATGCGTCTTGGTTAGTAGTCTTGGCTATGTATTGCCCGCCAAAACATATAATACAGTCAGATTTGTACACAACATATTTGAACTCCCAAGAAAGTAGATTCATCATCGGAGGTGATTAGAATGCGAAACATAATAAATGGACATCAATATTATTCACCACCAAAGAAAGAGAGCTCGCAAAAGCCTGCTGACAATTGAATTAAGAAATAGTATCGACTGAAAAGCCAACCTATTGGCCAACGGATCAGAATAAAATACCTGACCTGATTGACTTTTTCATAATTAAGAATATTGCCTCTAATTTCTTAAGCGTTTGAAGAGGCCTGAAATATTAAATCGGATTATTCTCCCATTCTTCTCACACTTTGTGACGAAATAATACGGAAAGAGGGTGGTAAATACAAGGACAGGACGAAAACTAAAAATCAATTATATGCAAAAGTTGAATTGCTTACCAAACAGATTCAACAAGCAGCATGGAACCATACTCAAATCATCCATATTAGGTCAGAAGGAAAAAATTATCCGAAAGAAATCAGAACTCTGATTTCTGAAAAAAAGAACATTACGTCGCAAATGGCAACAAACCAGATCTCTCAAGGACAAGACAACTTTAAACAATGCGTCACATCTCAAACGAGAAATACAACGCATTAATAATGAATAAATTGGAACAAACCCTAGTGAGCAAACAGCTGAAACAAGCAGTTAATATTCTCTCTGGAAGGCCAGCAAACGGCCCAAAACACCTATACTACATAACCCACCAATCATAAACACTGATGGAAACTGGGCTCGAACCTATTAACAAAAAAAAGCAGTCGCTTGGCATAGCATCTCGAAAACACGTTCCAACCAAACAAAGGTTATGACCTGGTCAACGTGAATAGTATTGAACATTTCTTGAAAATTAAACCTACTAATACCAAAGAAGTTGCGAAAGACAATCATTATCATTTTGACTTTACAACCCTGTGTGGGTCCTAGCCTCCCCAAGAATTTTTTCCAGTCCTATCCATCGCCTTCCTCCGCCACGCACGTATTTCCATATTTCTCATATCTTGGTCTATGTTATCTAGGAATTTTGTTCTGGGTCTTCCTCTTCTTCTTTGACCAATTGGTCTATCAATGAGTGTTTTACTAGCTGGGTCGGTTTGTTCCATCCGCATTACATGGCCTACCCACCTCAGACGTTCTCAGACATCTTAATGTGTTTTGCGAAAGACCATATCGATCCCAAAAAAGCTCCACGGTTCAATCTAACAACAGGCGACAGATTAAAACAAAAGAATCCCATCACTAAGCTTACATACCTAGTTAATACTTAGACTAAAGTATGCTCTCAAAATGTGGAAAGTGGCAGATGTCATAATGATTGAAAAACCAGGAAAGCCACCAAATGAGGTTCCACCCTACAGGCCTATTTCATTATTGCTTGTACTTTCAAAATTATATAAAATTATTCTAATGAAAAGACTAAAGATCATGATCGAAGAAAAGAGATTAATACCACATTAGTTTGGCTTTAGAGAGAGTCATTCAACGATAAATCATATAAATACAATCACCAAAATCATTGAAAAGGAGCTAGAGAGAAAACAAATCTGTTCAGCTATTTTCCTGGCTGTGGCTCAAGCCTTCGATAAAGTATGTCATGAAATCCTTATCCATAAATTGAATAGAATACTACCGAGGCAGTATTCGCAATTATTAGAGTCGTACTTAACTGACAGGCACTTCAGAAGAAATCCGGTGGATACCTACATAGAGTTAAAGAAAATCAAGGCGGGAATACCGCAGGTGAAAATGGAACGATCGCAACATCTGCGGACAACAAAGCTGTTCTGGCAGTGGCAAATAATCATAAAGAAGCTGCAAGAAATCTTCAGTGAACAAGATCGATGATTTGATCAAAAATGGAAGATAAAGTTGAATGAGACCAAATCAGTGCATGTGAATTTAACTCATAAGGAAAAGCAATATGTGCCCATTGAAATAAATGAATCCCAGGTCATTGTTGCCGATACAACGAAAAACCTGGGTATGCATCTTGATGCGAGGCTGTTGTAAGGTCCATATAAAGAAAAAACGAGAGGAACTTAAACTGAAATACAAAAAATTGTACTGGTTGTTTGGAAGAAACTCAAAGCATTCCATAGATAATAAACTTTTGATCTATAGACAAATAGTCAGAGCGGTATGGAGATACGGTGCTCAGCTCTGGGGGTGTGTCAGAAAGAACAATATTTTAACATAACTCCTGGATAATATAGAGTTAGTAAGAAGGCTAAAGAGGGCGAAGCCCTTCGAGTTAGTGTAGTGTTTAGTTCAAAAGCAGAGTATAGTGCGGCTTAGGCTGCAAGTATAGGCTACATTTTGTATCGGCAACACTGCTACAGTTTAAATGCTTACTAAACACCACAGAAGTGACCTTTTCAGTATACAGTGAGTGTCAGTAGACTAATAGAGAAGTATAAAATTAACAAATCATTAACTTTAACACTAGGCGAGAGTCACCATTCGATCAGTAACGATAAAATGTGGTCTTTCCTAACACCGTTCTTCACTATAATATATCATATCTAATCATGACTACAAAAGTTTTTCGTTAGTAATTCTACTGTAAATCATTAAATCATGAGAAATATTTATCTATATCCATACTTACTGGATTGATGACACGACAGTCTTTATTATTTTCATTATATGATTCATACTTGTCTCCAATAACTACTAAATCAGGCAGAGGATACAATCTCATACAATAATCAAAATCCCATTGGACTGGTAATGCATTTAAAGATAATGGGCACAAATGTCCTTGACTTATGATAGTTCTCCTCATCTGAAATATAAAAATGTATATATATTTGTATGTATACATTTGAATCAAACTAACAAAAAAATTATTTAACTGCATTCATCATCATCATCATCCAGCCTACATTTATCACGTCCACTGCTGAACATAGGCCTCCCTTAAACTCCTCCATTCTTTGCGATTTTATGTATAACTGCATTAAGACAGTGGAAATATAATATTACAGTTTTTATATACATTTTTTTTATTTCACATTTATATTATGGTCCAGCATTATGTTAAAAACTAATAGAGGATAAGAAGAGAGATACGAAACGGAAAAAATAAATGAAAAAGAAATAACGAAAAACAGTGACTTATCGAGAAATTAAAGGAAGAAATCTGAGAGTTAAAAAATTAGAAACCACCAGGTAGCCACAAATTAACAACAGAAAAGATAAAAAGCATGGGATAAAAAGTAACAAAAATACTACTACAGATATATAAAATAGCTTGGTAGGAAGAAGAGGTTCCAAAGGATTGGCAAATGGCATCCAGAATAACTATTTTTAAAAACAGTAGCAGAAAAGACTGCCATAATTACAGAGGATTACACTTCTAAGCATTGCAATGAAAAACTACTAAACAAACGGATGAAGCTAAAAATTGAAAACGCATTATACTCTAGTCGTCACAGACGAAAATGCTACTGAACCTCTAAAAATTATACAAACCAGCTGAATTTTGCTGAGAATATCAATTTTGGGACCCCAAAAAGAAGCAAAAAGTTTACTATCTTTACCCCTAGGGCTTTACCCTAAAACGTCCCCTCATGGGGGGAAACGGAAAAAACGATTTATTAAAAATCTGTAAGCCGTAGAAAAAATTTTTTCAAATAAAAAATGTAGCTGAGTGGATTTTAAACAAAAATGTTTTTTAGAACTTTTTGTACAGAATGAGCTGTTCTTTCAGAAACAAACCTTGGAGTAACCGGCGATTCGCCTGTGTGAAGGACAAATCAATTTTAAATAAAATTTGTATCAACTTGACGGTAAAAATTCGACATCTTTTGATCATCTATCGACAAACGTCTAAATGCGTTTTAAAGGTGCTTCAAAACCTAGAGTATAAAATTTCGTTTGCGTTTTGACAACAAACGTGAGGCATTTGAATACATATGTCTAAAAAAGGCTAAATATAAATTTTCACATTACAAACGGTTTAAAATGTTTTTAAACTACTTATTTTCAGTTACACAAGTACGTTTTTCAAAGCTACAGAACTTCAGCTACAAATTCCACCCAATACGGCCTTCGTGGGAAAATTTTCTGTGACGTGCGATCATTTGTAATGTAAAAGTTTAAATTCTGCGTTTTTTAAGGATATTTCAAATGCCTCATATTTATTGCCAGTCAAAATCGAAATTTCATGTTATTGGTTTTTAAGATTAGGCAATGGAAATTCCACTACGAGCGGTCAATGAAAGTGACAAATTTGATTGATCTCAAAAATCGCACGTTTATTTATTTAACATCTTTGTAAAAACTGACTTCATTTGCGACAAAATATAAAAATTGGATACGAAAGCTGTGGTCCTCACTTTTAAAACATATTTGATTTTTGTCGATAGGAGACTCTGATCAAAAAATATCGCATTTTTACTGTCAAGTTGAAACAAATTTTATTTAAAATTGATTCAAGCGTTGTTTCTGAGAGAACGGTTTATTCTACGCAAAAAGTGTTTATCAACATTTTTGTTCAAAATTATGTCAGCTACATTTTTTATTTGAAACATTTTTTCTACGGCAAATCGATTTTTTCCGCCCTCTCCTCTACGAGGTGACATTTTAGGGGGAAGCCGGGGGTAACAGTGGTAAACTTTTTTCATCTTTTTGAGGTCCCAAAATTGACATTCACTGCCAAATTCAGCTCGTTCGCATGATTTTTAGAGATCAAATCTCTGACGACTGGACTATTACAACAATCACTAAGTGGATTTCGAAAAGGAAGAAGCACACATGATATACATACAATGTATACATCTTTTAAGGCTTTTGATAAAATACAAATGTTATAAAAGTTAGACACTATTGAAGAAAAAAAGAACCAGTAATAAAATGAAAACAATGAAGAACGTACAAAAAATAATGACAATCGTGTTATCAGTCACAAAGAACAATCAGAAGTATTTTCAACGAAATAAGATCTGAGATAAGTAGGAGGTCTAAGCCCAACATTTTTTATAATATATATGGATGAAATAATAAAGAAACGCACATTAAAAATAAGAAACATGTATGTAGGATATATAAACTTATGAGGGGTAGACATTTCGGAAGAAGCATTTGCAGACGATATAATCATTCTAAACAGAAAATGAGAAAAATTTACAGAAAAACTTGAATATATGGAACGAGATTTTAAACGAATATAGAATGACAAAAACAAAAATAAAACAAAAGCTATTACACTAGTAGACAAACCGGGGAAGTTAGATATGAAAATAGAAGGAATAAAAATAGATCAAGTAAGAAACAATCAATCTAGGAGAGGACATAGAAGAGAGTGGAAAACATGATTAAGAGATGAACTATATAGAATACAAAAAACTCTAAGCCTCTATCATGAAATGAATAACAAATTTATAAGCAAGAGAGACTTTTTATTAAAAACAAAAATAAATGTGTTCAAATCAATATAGAGACCTGTATTAACTTTTGGATACGAATCACCGGTTTAAGAGAAGAGAGAGACAAAAAAGTAAAATACAGGCTGTAGAAATAAAGTACCTTAGATGAGTCAGAGGCGTAACTAACATGTACACAATATGAAACACCAAGATAAGAAAAGACCTACAGATGGAATCGACATTGAACTTTGTTGAAAAACGACAATTAAATTGGTAGGGTTATTTACAAAGAATAAAAGCTACACGGCCAGTGAAGGAAATATAACAAAGAGTAAATGCAAGCTACAAGACCAGTGAAGGAAATAAAACAAATATGAGATAAAGCACTTGCAAGTATCTTAGAAAAGAGAGGAAAAATGTGGACGGAAGCAACGACTTTGGCAAGAGATAACAAGGAATAGACAAAAGTTGTACATAATTAATATAATTTCCTTAGATAGTGTACATTTTTTAATTAGATAATAAGCAATTTTAATTTTTCATTTCCAAAACATATTGACAGATATGTACAAAGAAAATAAATGAAATGAAAAAAAAAAAACAATCGAAACATCTCGAACAGAAAATGAAGAGAACTATCAAAAAATAAAAAAAAATGTGCCTAAAATCACAAAAATTAAACCAGGATAAAAAATTCTTAAAGCCTAATATTCTAGTAACACAACTATTTATTCATGAGTTGGGTCTCACGTTATTTATTGCAAACTTAACTTATTGTGATATTAAATGTGTCAATCATGAAAATACAGAATGACGAATGAATAAAGAGATCTAATTAACCTGACTTCAAAACGATATTTAGACATTTAAACTTCGGTATGATCCGACGCTAGTAGGACAAATGCATACACTTATGAATAATATTTGGAATGATGAAAAGATCTCTAGCGACTGGAAAACCGGGATTATATGTCCAATCTATAAAAAGCGCATAATTTTCACAGATATGTGAAAATTATCGCGGCATGACTCCATTGTGAACAGCGTACAAAGTTTTTACTTACATAATAAAGAAACGACTCCAACAACTAACTGAAAATATTGTCGGGGAATATCAAACCGGTTTAATGACAAGGACGATCTACAACTGATTAGCTCTTCACAGTGAAATAAATTATAAACAAATCGTGGGAATACGACATTGACGTCCACAATATATTCATAAATTTCAAACAGGCCTACGACAAAAGTTATAACAAATATTAAATAGCTTTAGCATCCCCCAAAAATACATCCGACTAGTAAAAGCAACAATGGACTCATCAACAGCAACTGTAAGAGTACAAAATGAGCTCAGAAATTTTCAATAGTCAAAGGATTAAAGCAAGGAGACGGGCTATTCAACCTGACTCTCGAATATGTGATAAGACAGCTGAATATAGTAAGAGATAATCTAATTGATGAATTCGACCGTTACTTGATGGAAATTCATTTTATGTAACAATAAAACACTGAAAACTTTGTTTTCAAAGAATAGAAAAACAGATTCGACATACGCACTTCACCTTCTAGATCATAATCATTCTTTTAATGACAAGTTTAAAATTCTTCACATTCAAAATAAAGGCCTTAAGCTATCTTTGTTTAGAATCTATGGAAATCAACAAATTAAAAAACACAGATATAATTCTGAATGACCAACTTCAGACAAACAGTTTTCCCCTCCTCAACCTATTTCATTAAAGACTATAAATTTGTAAACCCAAGTCAAAAATAGATCACTTGAGAAAAGCAATCAGCCGAAACAGCTGTAGTGATAAGATTTAAAATAAATTTTGTGGAAGTTTGAAAACAAATTTTTCAGTGTTTTATTGTTACAGAGATAATCTAACAAATAAATCAATACAGATTGCCCCCTATGCTGATGACATTAGCATTATGTCTCGAAGAACAGAAGAGGCAGCAGAAATATAATCACAATTAAAAACAGGGTCAAAGAGACCGGACTAGAAATATGTTTTCAAAAAACAAAAGCTGGAAGTCTTCGAAAGAAAAGTCCCAAGGAAGATATTTGGACCTTTTAATGAAAACTGAGTATGGAGATCCAGGTACAACCATGAACTCTTAATTGTTCAAAGAGGCACCGATCTCAGAATTCGTTAAACTTCAGAGACTTCGATGGACAGGTCATGTAGTGAGAATGGAGACCAACAGATTGCCAAAAAGAGTCCTAGATAGTAAAATGCAAGGCGCAAGACCAAAAGGAAGGCCACGGAAAAGGTGGGAGGATGAAGTGGCAGCGGACGCGCAAAATTTGCTGGACGTAAGAACCTGAAGAAGATCGGCGCAGGCCTGGCAAGGTTGGAGGCATAGTTGTAAGGCTCGATTTGGGCTGTAGTACCATTGGTGCTACAAC